GACAGAGCCAGGCCCTGCAGAGGCCTCAGTGACCAACGCCCGGCAAAGAGAAGGTGGCCACCAGCGGGTCAATCAGGGAGGGCTCCCCGGAGGAGGTGTGAGCGGCTGCTGCCTCCGTGTCGGACACTGTGTCCCCAGCCCCTGTTCTCCCCCAGCGGGCGGAGGGTGGGGCTCAAGTTCCAGCGGGGCCTGCCCCCTGTGCCGGGCTCCCCAAGGACACCCTGCCCACTCCCACCCCGTCCCCCAGAGGTGGGGGTTCTCTGCCTGCACCTCGGAGCAGAGCGCAGACAGGGGAGGGGAGGATCTCGGCTGGGACGTGCGCCGAGGGCGCCCCCTGAAGTCCTGGGGCAGAGAGGGGCCTGTGCCGGCCGCCCGGGGCCCGGCTGCCCGCCACGTGCCAGTGGCGCCGACTCTGACCACGGCTTCCGAAAGGTCGCAGCTGTTGACGTCCCAGACGCACAGGCTCGGAGTCACGTAGCGTGCGCTTCACCTGCTGTCCCTCACCAGACGTCCCGAGGGCTCCCTGTGCCCCGAGGGCTGCAGTGGGTTCGGAGGAAGCTTCGCCCGGCATCTGTGGACCGACCCACGGCGGAAACACAGCCTAGCGAAGACAGGCCGCCGGCCACGGGCGCTGGGCGGTGTCCGAGGGGCCGCCGCGTGGCGCAGGGTCAGCGGAGGCGCACGGAGGGCTGGGCACCGAGCCCCCGGACGCGCCCTCCAAAGCCAGTCGCCCGCTCTGGGCGAAGCCGGCTCCCGCCTCCTGCTGCCTGGCCAGGCCCCTGGGGTCCTCCCGAGTCCCCGTCTCCCCTGAGCCGCCGCGGCTCCTCAGCCGGGGCTGCACATGCGGCCAGAGTCTGACCAGTCTTCCGGCCAGCAGAGCCCCTCCCGACTCCAAGGCTCCCGTAGCCCCCCCCTCCACTGCCCTCAAGGTCAGCCCTCCAAGGTCAACGGGGTGGGCGGGGCAGCCCTGCCCTGCCCTCCTTCACTCGGTCTCTTCCTCTCTCCCCGCCCACCGCAAGCCTCACCCAATCCAGTGGCTGCGCCCCCAGGCCCCCGCCCCCCGGACAGCCTGGGCCCCTCCGAGAGTCGCAGGGAGAGGAAGTGAAACTTCCCGGCGCACCTTTCCTGGGCTCCGCACCTGCACCATCACTCACTCCTCAGACTGTCGAAGCTGTCGCTCAAAGGATGGGGTCGAGTCACATGGCTCATCCCCCGGGCCCGCCGGCCCCCCCCCCGCCCCCCGTCACAGGGTGGGGGAGGGACTGAGCAGGTGCAGGGAAGCCGGGGATTGGGGACCTGCGTGATTCTAAAGCAGCCTCTTCCCCCGCCCCCGGCCCCGTGGAAACTGGGCAGGACCGGGTCCCCTTCTGCAGGCACCCAGCACCCCCGCCCCGCCCTGCCCCGCTCCCCCTCGCTCCGCAGACCTGGCAGCACCTCCCTGCGGCCCATCTGCCCTACGAGTGGGCAGGGCTTTGGGGATGGGGTGACAGGGGTGGCCCCTGTCGTTTTGGGACTCGGGGAGACAAGCGGCACACATTGGCTTTACGGGCAGGTGCTGAGAGCGGCTGTCGCCACGGCAGCAGAGCCTCCCGCGGCCGCAGGGCATCGTGGGAAACTCAGGGGAAGCGGAAGGAACAGGACAGAGCCCCAGTCGGCGAGGCCGCAGGAGGGAGCGTCTGCCGGCCCCAGCCTGCCGAGAGGGCTGGTTAAAGGGACCGGCATGTGGCCGTAGCAAGACCCTTTAGAGAGTGACCAGGGAAGGGGGCCTGCGGGCAGAGGGGGGACGGCACTCGAGGGGACCCCCGCTGAATGGACCCGTCGGAGGAGCCTGGAGGTCTCTTCTGTCTCATCAACTGACAGGCGATTCTTTCAGAAGCAGGTGTGGGGTTTAGAGGGCGTGGCGGCGGCTCGTGCCCCCGCCCCGTTGAGGCAGGATTTCAGGAGCTGTTTTGGGAGGACGGGGAGGGCCGTGGGGTCTGGGGTGACACCCCTGGAGAGGAGGCACAGAGGAACAAGGGGGGATAAAGAGAGGGGGTGAGGGAGTCGGATAACCAGGGGGAGAGGAAGAGCGGGTCCCCAGGCCGCGGGCATTCAGGGGCGGGACGTCCGAGTCCCAAGGACGAACGCGATGCGCGCGAACCTGCCGCCGTGGCTGCTGGAGAGATGGGGTGCGAGCCCACGGGGGGCGCGGGGGGGAGAGCGCCGAGCCCCGCCCACAGCAGGACCGCGGAGGGGTTGGACCTTCCGGCCAGGGGCCACCGTCCCTTCCTCCCTGTCTGCGCGGGGGCGGTGAATGCACACGCAGGAGAAGACCCCGTAGATAGGCAACAAGCAGGAACCACCGTCGCGGGCCGATCAGAGCCCGTGTGTCCCCAGGGTCTTGGGTGGCTCTTTCCAGGAAAGGCGAGCCTGCCTCGTGATGGGTGGAGCGTGTGTCTCCGGCGAAGGAGAGGGTGGCGCTGGGTGCGGACGAGGCGCTCGGAGGTGACTGTGATCTCATTCCCAGGAAGGCCCTGGAGGCCCAGAGATTGGGCGCCGATGACGGGGCTCGAGTCCTTCCTTGGGCCGGGATCTCGGGTTTGGGCAGGACCGTGAGTGGCTCGTGTGCCCAGAGAGGAAACCTCAGGACTGGCTCCTCCTTGGGGCGCCCCCTGTGCCAGCTCAGGTCCTGGCACGCACCGCTTCAGTCCCTTTAACCAGTCCTGACGGCTTGTCATTTGCGGCCACGAGCCCTGGCTCCACCCGGAGCCTCCGAAGTGCTGGACACAGGCCCCGGGGCCACGCGGCACCGTGCCCTGGGCCCGAGGACCCCCGGCGAATGTTCGCTCAGCGGGCCTCTCCTCCGCGCCCTGCAGCCTGCGGCCGCCTGCCCTGCACCCCTGGCTTGCCCTTCCCTGGTGGGGCCTCGTCCTGGGCCCGCCCGACTTCCTCCACCCGTGCCCCCTCCTCGCCCTCTAAGCCCCCAGCTGGAGCTCCCTGCTCTGCCGGCCCCGCCTCCCTCTTGTCGCTCTCGCGCTTGGTACACACACACCTGCGTGTGTCTCACCTGGGTGAACGCGTGGCATGTGTGACGCGGCTTTTCCCCGGGGACGGGGCTGTTGCCTCCCCAGGTCCTCGTCTGTCCCGCACTCCCTGCCGCACACCGACGCCCCGAGGGTGGACTCTGCATCCCCGAGGCCCGGCCGGGGGTCCGCGCCTCTTACCAAACGCCGCTCTGCTGGGGAGCTCCGGCGCGGCAGGGAGCCGGCCTCCCCGCTGGGGCCCGTAACGGGGGTTCGCGGTCTCCCAGCCCAGCCCTGGGTGAGGGAAGGCGGAGGCACCGCCAAACACAGGGTCAGGAGGGGTCCGGGCCTCCCCGTCCGTGTAACCCCCCGCTGCAGTGCGTGCCCCATGCAAGGTGCGGGGGCACCGTTCGCATGTGGTGGCTCCGGGGCCAGTGGGGGAGACGGACGGACGGACGCACGTGGGTCCTCGCGTGAAGGCGAGCGCGAGGGGAAGGCATGAACTCAAGGTGCGGGCACACGGCCTCTCAGATTCTGGGCGAAGGGGAGAGAGGGCCAGAGGGCGCCACGTGGGGGAGGGCGGGCGGGCAGCCTGATGACCCGAGACTCGCCGAGGGCCCGGGGGCCTTACCGCCGGGGCTGCCCCCCTGGAGCCGGCCTCGCCTTCAGAGCCCCCCTCCAGCGTCTCAGCCCCTCTCGCTCAGGCAACCTGGCCGTGGCTCGGGGGACCGAGGGAGGATGGGCATCGTCCCCTCACGGAGGGGCAGCGCCACGCACACGGCTGCCTCTGCCCCGCGCAGTCTCCCCCACCGCGGGCCCGGGGGCAGCCCCCCTTGAGCTCGGGCAGGCAAGGAGCCCGTGCCGGCCTCACCCCGCTTCCCGGCGTCGGCCCCGCACCTCCCGCGTGCAAGTCCCCCACGGGCGCGGTGGGCGCGGTGGGCGCGGTGGGCATCACCGCCACTGGAGAAGTCAGAGCCCGGCGGCACGGTGGCTTTGACAAGGTCACGCAGTCAATGGGAACGGGCACCCCATCTCCTGATCCCAAGAACTAGCCTTTTCCCTCGATGCCCTGCACCCCTCCCCCGTCAGTCCTAGGCCCTGTCTGTCCAAGCCCCTGGGGGCGGGGGTGGGGGTGGGGGAGGGAGGAGCCAGCGCCTCAGAGGCTGAACCAGGGGCGACAGGGACTTCTCCTGGGTGGGCACCCACGAGCGAGCAACCTCGGTATTACCTCCCCACCCCCGCCCGGCGGCCGGCCCCAGGCCCCGGGCGCCCACTCTGGCTCCTGCCCCAGCTGCTGTCTCAGCCCCTTTTACCTGCGCCCTCACGTCTCCTCAGCGCATCCTGCCCACCCCCTCCAGGCTGCGGGGAGCCACCCGTCCCTTTGCGCCCAAAGCGAGCGAAACCCCCCCATGCGTCCGTCATCGCTGCCCCCCCCAGCCCCGGGTACCCCAACTCATCCGCCCCTGCTTCTCCGCTGCAAATACCACCCCCTCGGAGCCAGAAATAGACGCAGCCCTCGCCCCCACCCGCCCCTGCGCACACTCCTCCCCTCCCCGTTCGCGCCGCCTCCCTCCCTCCGCCCGCCCTCGAGCCGCTGCCGCTGCCGCAGCCCCGGCTCCAGCGGGCGGGCGGCGGGCGGGGAGCGCAGAGGGCGCCGCGCTGTGCGCCCCGGGACCCCGGGGCGGGGGCAGGCGGGGCCGGGCTTCGGGGCTCCCGTTCTTCCTTTGATTGATTTTTACATTTTAATTTGTATTTCCCCGCCCGCCCCTTTTCCTCCACCCCGCCCCTTCCCCTGTTTCCTCGCGCTCTCCTCTCCTCGGCTTCCTTCCTTGCGTGTCTTCTCCCGCGCCCCCCGCTCCGCTGCCTCCCTCCCTCCCTCCGCCCCCGCCCTCCCCCTTCCTCTCCCTTCCTCTCCCTTCTTCCTCGGTTTCTTCCGTCCTTTCTCTCCCCTCCCCTCCCCCGCCCCTCCTCCCTGCGCTCCCCGCCCCGTGCCCGCAGACGCGCGGATCGTCCATGCGCTCCTCGCGGGCAGAATGCTGGGCGGCAGCGTCCAGAGCGCGCAGCCTGAGGTGGAGCTGAGCGGCTGCGGCGACGGGGGCGCGGACGAGCCCCGGGCCGCGGGGAGGAAGGCGGCGGCGGACGGCAGAGGCATGCTACCCAAGCGCGCCAAGGCGCCCGGCGGCGGCAGCGGCGGCGGCGGCGGCATGGCCAAGGCCAGCGCGGCGGAGCTGAAGGTCTTCAAGTCCGGCAGCGTGGACGGCCGAGTGCCCGGCGGGCCGCCTGCCTCCAACCTGCGCAAGCAGAAGTCGCTCACCAACCTGTCGTTCCTCACGGACTCGGAGAAGAAGCTGCAACTCTATGAGCCCGAGTGGAGCGACGACATGGCCAAGGCGCCCAAGGGCTTGGGCAAGGCGGGGTCCAAGGGCCGCGAGGGCCCGCTGATGTCCAAGACGCTGTCCAAGTCGGAGCACTCGCTCTTCCAGGCCAAGGGCGGCCCCGCGGGCGGCGCCAAGACCCCCCTGGCTCCGCTGGCACCCAGCCTGGGAAAGCCCAGCCGGATCCCGCGCGGCCCCTACGCCGAGGTCAAGCCGCTCAGCAAGGCTCCGGAGGCGGCTGTCAGCGACGATGGCAAGTCGGATGACGAGCTGCTCTCCAGCAAGGCCAAGGCGCAGAAGGGCTCGGGGCCGGCGCCCCCCGCCAAGGGCCAGGAAGAGCGCGCCTTCCTCAAGGTGGACCCCGAGCTCGTGGTGACGGTGCTGGGGGACCTAGAGCAGCTGCTCTTCAGCCAGATGCTGGGTGAGTCCTGCCCCCGCCCCGCCCCCCTCCGATTGCCTCGCCAGCTGCAAGGGAAGGTGTGGGGGACGCGCCCCCCCCCCAGTCCCGGTCGGGCTCGCCAGATCTCAGGCCGGTTAGGAGAGGGCACTGCGCCCAGATGTTCAGGGCTGGCCCGCTTCCAGACCCCGTGACTGAAGTGCACCTTCTTAAAAATGTCACCAGGAGGAAGCCTCGCTCTGGCCTGCTTGAGCCGGGGCTGGACAATGGGGTGCAGGGCCGAAGGTTCTCGAGAACAGAGCCTCCTCCTCGAATCTGAAACCCCAGAACCCTAGTGGTGGAAGTGGGGCGGATGGTCGCCTCCCCGGCGCTGTGGTCTGTGCCCCCTCCGGGCACCCAGCATCGCTGGGACTGGGGAGCAGGATCCAGGGGACACGTGTGTGGGAAGCAGATGTGAGGCTGCTGGCGCCGAGCAGAGCTGAGGCCCCACTTCCTCTGTGGATCCCCGGTGGGAGCAGGGGTCGGATATCCCGGGCGTGGGGGTTCTGGCAAGGGGACGGGGCTGGGGCCGCCGGGGGGGCGGGTGCGCAGGCAGCTGCGCGCATCTGGACGCGCGTCCTATCCCTCCGTCCGGCCGTGGCCCAAACCCCAACCCCCAGGATTTTGGAGAGTGTAGAAAGGTCTGGGCTTCCGCCCCAGCCTCCTGGGTGACTGGGAAGCCGGTGCTCTCTGGCTAACGGAAGCCGCGCCGCGGGGAGGGGGGAAACAAAGCTCGCTGTGGCAGAGGAAGCCCAGAGAGCGGCTCCATTGTTCTCCGAGCCTGGGGTCCCTGCAGAACACCCGCGCGGCCCCGGGCTGCGGCGGACTGCCCGGGGGTCCCCGGCCCGGCAGGGATAGACGGGGCCTGCAGGACGCGAGGCCGCGGTGCCTCGGGAGCCCGCAGGGCCGCGCCGGGCCCGCGGGACGACGGCCCCGGACCTGGCGGGCCCCCTCGGCTCCGCGGACGTGTTGCGGTGGTGGGGATGTGGGTTCTGGGCGCCCGGGGACCGAGCTTCCCGGGTACCAGGCTGGTGCCCGCCCCGCGGGGGCTGGGAAGGGGCGTGTCGCGCGCGTGTGCGGGGGCGGGGCTGCGTCCGAGTGACCGGCCGGCAGAGGAGGGGCCGGTGGCCCAGGAACGGGACAGAGGGGGTGGCGACCTGGGGAAGGCTGTGCGGGAGGCCGCTGGGCCCTGCCGCAGTCCCCCGGGAGCCCGGACTCCGGTGTGGGCCGGGGAGGGTCCGGAGCCTCGCGGGTGGGGGGAGGCCGCCTGTCGGCTTAGCAGGGGCGAGCAGGGCTGGGGCTGCGGGCGCAGACACGCACCGGTGACCGCCGCGGTGTGCCAGCCTGCGCCAAGGGCCGCTAGGGCGTCAGACAGACAATGAGAGGAAGGCGAATTCTAGGCCCGAGGGCCAGCCTGGAGGGAAGGAGGGGTCAGCGATGGAGTGGGCTGGGGCGGAGAGGCCTGCCCTGGCCCGTCTGGAGGCGGCCCCGAACCCCCACCCCCACCAGGCCTGGGGAGGGGGCGCCCGTGGCGGGATTGGGGGCAGGCAGAGGAGAGGAAGGCGTCGGGATGCAGGGGAGCACCCAAGACTCCGACCGCAGAGGGCATGGCTGTGTTTTCAAGGTCAGGGCTGTGCCGCCTCAGGATGAGGGAGCGGGTCCCGGCTGTCCCCAGGCCCTGGCTCCCTGGACGAGGCCTCTTAGTTGCTTCTCGAGAGGCAGCGGCCACAGACGCCCTGACAAATGGCCCTGAGCTTACTTGGGAGGGCGGCGGAGCTGTGGGCCCCACTGCTGCCCGGCATTGTCACAGTGCCCCGACGGGGCCTCTCAGCAGCCTGGGGGACGAGGAGGGCGCGGAACGCGCCCTCCCTGGGGCAGAAGGCGGGTCGGCAGCTCCCAGGGCCAGACAGTCCGCTGCAGCCGGCCACGGCGGGAGGCAGACCCCTCGGTCCAGCCCTCCCGAGGAGGCCGGGCCGAGAGAGGGACCTCGCCAGGCCCAGCAGCCCTGCCCCCAGGCCCCCTCGGAGGGCTGGGGCGTCTGGAACCGTGTGCTGTCCTGTCCGCGGCCTGGAGGGCCCATGGTGGCGGGGGTGGGTGGAGACCAGACTGACCAATGGGGACGGTAGAGCCCCCGAAGGTGTTCTAGGGCGTCAGGACGGCCCTCAGTGCGGAGCAGGGGGGCCTCTGGGGACAGGGGTGCTGCTGCCCTGATGTTCCCCGCTGGCACTGGCGGCTGAAGGAAGACACAGGGTGTTTGTTCCCCGCAGAGAGGCTCGGAGTCGGGTTACGTTCGCTCCCTGGTACCGGCCCAGCCCCAAGAAGCTGCCAAGACCCAGTTTCCGAGGGAGGGGGTGAGGCAGCTCCGAGTAAGAGCCTTTCTGGAATGAAAGGGAACAGCTGAAACCTGATAGTCCCTCCCCGAAATCAGCTGGGGCCCAGATGGTCCAGGCGCGGCCCCGCCCCGCCCCCGCCTCAGAGCTGCCAGATCACCAGGGTCCCACCGGGGAGCCCCCGAGACAGGGAGGCTGAGGGTGGCAGCCCAAGGGCATGGCCGTGCAGGCCCCGGATCTGGGGCAGAGCGGGGGCGGCTGCCCCAAGCCCCCTGCCTGGGCGCCCTGAGCTCCGCGGCCTCCTCTGGGACTCCGGTCCGCATCTCTGAGGGGAAGGGACCATGCCCTGGCTCCTCCTCACCGCTAAGGCCGCGGGGAGGGGCGCAGAGGAGGCGGCCGGGCCTCGGAGCCGCGCCCCTCCGCTCCAGCCCTGGCCACCGTTCCCCACCTCAGCCCGGGCCACGGGTCTCAGAGCACATCTGTCAACTCCCTGAACATTGCCCCCTACCATCCCCAGGAAGAGGGACAGCGTGGGGCGGTGAGGCAGCCCAAGGTCAGGGTGTCAAGGAACCCGGGACGCAGGAGGTGTCGGTGCCACGTCCTCACCAAGGTGCCAGGACCCCGGAGAGGGGTTGCCGTGGCAACAGTGAGACCCTCAGAGGAGTCCCGAAGGTCTCTGCCTCTGAGCCACCGGTGGCCGTGGGTTTGGGGGCGCGTGCGAGGGCAGGCCGGCGCCGTGCACTGGGTCCCGGGATGCGCCGTCGGGGGAGGGAAGGCCTGGGTTCGAAAGCGGGCTTTCTTTCTGTTCCCTGGCCTGGGGGCCCGGCAGGTCGAGGGGCCACTGATGCGCAGAGCAGACGGCGAGGGGCAGGCGGCCCGGCCCCTCAAGTTACACGCCCCGCCCCGCGAGCCACCCGATGCCTCCCCGGGGCCCCCAGGCCTAGCAGGAGCGTGGGGCTCCCCGCTCGCCCCCCGGCACAAGCTGGGGCACCTTTGTGGAAGCTGGGCTGAGAGGGTGGTGGCCGGTGTGGGCCTGCAGGTGTGGACAGGAACTGCCTCGGCCCTTCGCCGTGGAAGGCCTCCCCCCACCGCCTGCCTCGAGCTCGGCCCGGAGGAGGACGCTTGTCTTCTCAGCCTGTTCGGGACGCTTGCTTCCCAGGCTCGGCTTCGCTCTCGCCGGCAGGGGCCGGGCCCAGGCCCTGCTCCTGCTGTCGGTCGGGGCCTCCTGCAGGCCCCTGAGCCAGGCCGGCTCCCCCGGCACGAGGCGGCTCCCTCGTCTGTGTCTGACCCGCCCCGGCCCTCGGCGGCCAGCGCCCGACATTGTCTCTCTCCTGCTCACCTCCCGTTTCGCCCTTCTCTGCACCTGTCCGTCTGCACACGCGCCGGCCCCTTACGGCCTCCGACCCCCGGGAGGCAGGTGCAGGCTGCTCCGCGGGGCTTGGCAGAGCTGGTCCTGGTGAGCAGGCTGGGAGAGCCCCGGGGCGCCGTCCTGCCGCCCGGCACCCCCGCCGGGGGCGGCATTTCCCTTCACCGCTGCCCCGCACAGCCCACAGCGAGCCCTTCCTCCTGCAGAGCGCGCCGCCCCGCCCTTCCCCGCGATCCCACGGAGCGCAGAACGGCTGCGCCGCCCGCCTCGAGCCGGGAGGACTCCCTCTGTCGCCTCACGGGCAGGTGGGTGTTCTGTCTGCACACTCCCAGGGACCGCGGGCTCACCCCCTCATCTTCCTGGAAAGCGCCTGTTCCCAGGAAGCTGCAGCACCCAGCTTCTGTCTCCTGGGGTGCCCGCCTGGGGGTGCCCGCCTGCTGCCTTTTGTGGTCCCCTTTCCTGTGTCAGAGGTCAGACCCCCATCTCTTTCCCGGGCCACCCTTTCTTTCAAAATGAGACGATGGAAGGAGGAGCCGGACCTGCTCCCCTGACCCCGGGGCCCGGTGCCGCCCAGCCCCCCACCGGGACCCCCGCCCCCTCCTCACATCTGCCTCCCAGCACCCGCTGCCTGTCCTGGCCGGTGGGCTCCGCCCTCCGCCTGCAAACCCGTGGGAGCCTCCCGTGGAGGGGAAGTGCGCACCACATGTTTCTCGTTGGTGCTGGCTGACCCCTCCACGGCCCGTTTGGATTCCCCAGATGTGTTGGATGCTGCGGAGCCGCGGCCTGGCCTCCCCGCACAGGAAGGGCCCGGGCCTGCCCAGGGGCCCTCGGAGCTGGTCAGCGTTCCAGGCCGGCACCACCTCCCCTACCTGCCCACACCGGCGCTCCCGGGCCCTGGGCCTCCTTCACGGAGAGGAAGCCGGCGTCTGGCGGCTCCGTGCTGCCCTCAGGGCCCGAGGTTCAGGTGGGGCGAGGCCCCGGGAGCTGTGCCTGTCCCCCAGCTGGCGGCCAAGGGGGGATCCCACGTGCCAGGTGCCGGCACGGCCACTGCTGTGAGCCCAGCGGGCGCAGCAGCGCGTGTGCCCGGATGCAGCGGGGGGCTCAGGCCCCTCGCCTTTTGTCGTTGCCTCCGCCTGCGGCACAGCCAGGGGAAAGGGGGGCCCGGCGGGCGCCCCCAACCCGGAAGCCCGTCCTGGTGCCCGTGGGGGTGGGAGCGCGCAGCTCAGCCCGCCTGTGGGTCCGGGTCCGGCCCTCGCTGCCAGCGCTGTCCTCATCACAGCGCATTTGAC